ATATATATATATAATATACCCCCAATAGCGAATTTCAATGCTCACAGAGTATATCAACATGCATAACAACATCTCTACATGTGGATGACTTTCAAAAGCGTCTCTCTGTCCAGACCACTCGACTCCAGTCCAGTCCAGTCAAGTCAAGTCCAGTGGACAACTGAAAAAGATATTGTTGCCAGAAAGCCAGGTGCCTGTTGTGTTTTGGCAATTAAAATTATGTATGGTAAGTTGAAATTTCATGCCAAATTATTTACAACTGAATTCACAAATCCCTTTGAAACTGCTATTGAGATTCATCTGTTGTTATTTGTACTTTATAAGTACGTAAGATTCCTGAAGTATATAAATATAATAAAATATAATTTTACAGAAGAAGATTTACCATAATAATTAAAAAAGACTAAAAAACGAATTAAATACGACTAAAATATACGTAGCATCCACAATTCTTACTTTTGTTGGAAATTCATATATTTTATTCGTTTTTTTTTTTTTAGTTAAAAAGGGTATATTCGCTCTTGTACATTGTTCGACTGGCTTTAGAGAATTTAAATTTAGAATACTAAGCTGCAGCCATGTTTATGATAATTTTTTTTAACAGAAAAGGGAATACAATTATAAATATTCATATATATATTTGATAAATACAAAATTTATTAAATGTTTATAGAATGAACGAAGCACCCAGAAAGTAAAAATGTACTATATTAAAAATATATGATATATGTATAATTTAAAAAAAAAAATTGTATTTTTGTTTTATTATATCACATATTGTTTTCAAAAATTTTATTTTAATTTTTCACTATAAATTTATTTAATAATTTTAGTTAATATAGTAATATTTTTCTCATATATAATAAAGAAATATTTGTTGTATATTAAAAATATATATTAAAAGAGAAATGAACTCTACTGAACACAAACAATATGTTCATTCAAAATCATCCGTGATCGACTGAAAAATTCTCTACCGACTTTTTCTCTACACTCTTGCACCGTTTTTCTAATGTTATTCAGCTTCGCTCTTGGCACATTTACTGTTTGATTTTGTGAATGCCAAATTGTTGTTTTATTTACACATCAAATATTGTTTATTTAATTTTGAATATCTTCAGAGATGAACAATTGAACAATTAGGCTTGCTCTTCGCTGCCTCATATCACAATGTCAGACAGCCCAATATTGAAATAGAATTTTGTGAGTAGTGACGTACATAAACTATTATTATTTTAATAACTCTGTGTATTATTTGTAAATAGAATTCTTAGCTTTTCTGTTTAGTTTCGGTTTTTTCATACTCACCTTTATACACGTACACAAATGGGAATTTGCACAACTGAAATGAAATACAACAAAAATGTGTAAAATAGCAACATTAAAAGCACATATTGTGATTAATTAAACAACGCAAATGATAACGGCTGAAAGGCAAATCGGTATAAATGCGAGCTTCAGATGAGTCAAAATTCTAGTTTCACAACTGCAACATGTGTAAATTGTCGTTCTCCATCGCACTGTGCGCCGTATTCGTCTGTCTGAGCACGGCTCTGTCCCGGTGTTGCCCTCGGAAATGCGAGCTCGCATTTCGCTGCGATCCCTTTTACAGGGAACCAGTGTGGAGTATTGTTGATGGATTCTGCCGAGGCTTCCAGAATAGCTGCATATTCGAATCGGAGAACTGCAATCGTGTGAACAGCTGCCGGAGAGGTGAGTTGCATAGGAATTTCTAGGTATATATGTATCTATTTAACAACCTCTGTTTATCGCGTAGCTTTGGTAAGAACAACTCGAGAGGCGTGCAAGAAACGTTGCGTTCAGATCTGCCCACTGGGCGGCAGTGGAGTCTGTGCCACATTCGCAGATACTAGCAGGGAAGGCGCCCGCATAACGAGCACCAGAACTTTCCTGAATCGCTGCCTCTTGGATCAACACTCCTGCGTAAACGGAATACGTATGAAAATATAAAATACCCATACTCGAAATACCTCCACTAAATATAAAAAAATAATATCATTGCAGCGTATATCGGAGTAGAAGAGGGCGAATGCAGGCAATAAGTACCTTAACTAAAATTGAGTTGAGTTGAAGTACCGGAACTTGGATATTTCATCAGACAAAAGCGAAAGTGCACAGCTCGAACCGATCACTTGTTATTGACCCCCAACAAGTGTTAAAGTATTTTTATAAATTTTATAAAAATATTGACACAATTTTTGAAAACAAATAAACACGGCAGAAGTAAATGAGAAATCGAATGAATGTTGAGTTTTAATGTCATTACAAAAATTGCACGCGAGAAACAAGTCAGAATGAAAACCGGACTAGCTCCTGGCTTCAAACTTATTTTGCTTATATTGCTCGGTTCGATTGGCACTATCTATGGACAGTTGTTCTCTTTGCAAGGTGCGTCAATGTCTCGTTGACAACAAAAAATTAAATTTTCAAATAAAATAATTGCCATTCCCAAAATTTTTCAATAGGACCCAACAAGTGCCACGACGTTTGCCCCACAGGATATCGCGTGGTCTGTGCCCTGCACGACGGTTGTCTGCGAACATTCGCCAGCAGCTGTGTGATGCGCATGTATAACTGCAAATATCAGAAAGGTGAGTGCTTGCTGAAGTGTTGGAAATAAACGTCGCGAAATTTCAGTCCTTTTCACTCTCTATCTGTGGCTCTCTTCCAGACTATCGAATAATATCTAAAAGAGCCTGCGAGTTCATAAGCAACGAGGACCTTCAAAAATTGGAGCTCTAGCGGCGACAGCGCGGCCGACAGCACCCAGCAGCAGTGGGAGATGGACGCTAGATGTCGCCACAGTGCCGCGCGCATGCGTTGCAATAGATGTATATAGTTCAAAGTGGCTGTGGCATGACAGCCGCCAGGATATACATATATCCAACCACTGCTGTTGCTGCTGTTTTATGTGTAACTTTCTCTCTGGCTAAACTGTCGTCTCGTCACGCCACAACTAAAASAAGCGTACATTTTAATTTAATTTAAAAGCGCAACTTTGACCTGTTTTAATCGTATACGTATACAATTGTGCTAATCTTTTTTCGTGATCTAAATTTATACCAACAAGAATAAAAATAACGGTGAACGCGACCACTGAATAAAATATCCTCCCATATTAACATAGTCAAACCGTAGTGTAAGGACCAACAAATAAGTGTACATAATACAAATCGCAGACAACGACAAGAAAACTCGCTTTGGGCAGGCAGCAATATAACCTGCAACACACACATAAACACACACAGAGACACACGCACACACACACACACACAAAAACATATGCACATACGCAGTCGAAGGCTGCTTACTGTGAAGGCTCCAAAGATTTTACAGCTACTCGGGTGGCGGTTCAATAACAGGTTAGTTGCCCAATTACTAATTGTTTTGACATTTAGCCAGTTACCTGCCATACACATAGTTTCGATTTCAAAGCCAAACAAATTGCGCATCAATTATGCAGAACAATACCATGTCACTCACTCAATTGTTCCGGTCGTGTGAGTGTGGAGCAGCAGCCGCTGGCCACATTTCGAAGCATACATTTCAGCCCCATTGTTGCAGTATGAACTATACCAACATGTCTGCGACACATACACGTACACACATACGTGCTTGAGGTATGCATGTGCTGGTGGAGTTTATATGGGAGCATTTACATCTCTGTGTCTGTGTGTGGCTGTATCATGCATGTGACAGTAAGTGTGTACACACATACACACATGCCAGCTTGTGAATATGTGCAAACAAACAATGTAAGGACATGTGTGTGTGCGTGTGTGTGTGTGTATGTGAGTGAGTGAGTGAGAGTGCCAGCGTCCGTGTGTGTCTAATGCGTATGTAAATGTGAGAGTGCGACCCTGCCACTGGATAACAATAGCCACACTTCAATGACCTAGACCTCGACCACGAGAGATTTAAATGCCGCCAAGTGGGAGAGTGCATTGCAGTTGGCCTCCCACAAGTTCTAGGTCGTAATTTAAACTGCGCAATTCCAATTATGTCCATGTTGGCGCGACAAAATGTAAAATTCGAATCTCATTGCGGATAAATCATATATGCTTTCAATTAATCAATTACATTATTTATTTACACTGTACGCGACTCCTTTGTTATGTTCCAAATCCTCTACTGCATTTGATAAGCTACCTTCAGATATTTGTTTCTATTTTTTAAATAAATTTCTTTATACATTATTTTAGTTCAATAAAATCGTTTTAAATTTGACACTTTGAAATTTTGATAGCGCCATCTAGGTTTCATATCATTTTTCACGCTCATTGGTAGGCACTTTAATTTGTATCGCTGTTAAGACCAATTTTTATCGAATCATTTCCTGCTCACTGGTGCAATATTTTATGTAGAAAAATAATCGTATTTGCCAAGCAACAGCTGTTCTGTTATTTTTCTGTAGGAGTATTTCTCTTATTTATGATAATCAATAATTGCGTACCTATTGATATAAATGAATCAAAACATTGATGTCCCTCCCATCAGCTTAACATCAAACACTTAAAAACTTTTTAAAATTGCGCGAAAAATCAATCTGAAGTAACGGAATTTTTATCAGAAGCAAATGTTTGCGCGCTGTTAATAACATTTTAGCAACTGTTTGATGCTTTTGAGTGCCCACATATGTAAAAAACATTCGTCGCTCATTTGCGTTGTTCTTTGGTCGCTGCCGCTTCTCAGATTTGTGATTGTGAACTTAAAAAAAAAAAAGATAAACAAATTAATTCAAAAGATAATAAATTGATGTTAACTAGAAACCGTAAGTGTTAATGTTGCAGATGACTTGTGAGTGTGTGAGTGTGTGTATGTATGCGCGTAGGTGTGTGTATATTGTTTGTATGGGAATTGTTTGTTAGAGATGAGCAATCGAAGTGACTTGGATTAAAATGTGATTTTAACTGCTGGCAGTGTATGTGAATATTGTATAAAATTGCATAGTATCTCTGATAACAGTGTAGACAGATATGCTATCGCAAGATAAGAACTAATCGGTAACTTGTGGCCGTCGGCTAGATATAAGGTGTTTTATGCCTTTAGTGCAAATGTATGTATTTGCAGCCAATGAACCATTCACTCAAAAGTCACAGGTAATCCATGCATACYTACATACATACATATTACGCATCACTATTGTGCAGTTGCTTCGTTTCGTTTCCGCCACCCACAACAACAGCGCAGCGCAGCGCTGCGAAATTTATGCGACGATATGACAACAACGACAACAACATGAAAAAGACGACTGAATATAAAGAAGGAATAGCGCACAATACCCCATAATTATCAGAGAAGATTGAAGAAGCAATGGCAATTTGTCATGAATCAGAAGCCGCCGCGGCAGCAGAATCATACTGAACTGACTTACCCAGCCTTTTGTTATGTTTAGCTCGTTATCAAATAAGTAGCGAACAAAAATTCCGCAATGTTTGCCAGCTATAATATTCAAGTAAAATATTCTGAACTGTTTTACATATATGTATATAGATGCATACATATGTACATACATATGTAAGTGGGTACACAGGCTTCTGTACCCGGTTATGATTTGTGCGAAATTTGATAGGTTCAAATTCGAATAATGCACAGAGCTGTGTGTGCGGTGGCCCCTCTTTGCATACGTCTGCTGGATGTGCGTGCGCGAGTGTGTGTGTGTGTGGATGTGCGTGTGCGTGCGAGTGTGTTGGTGGTCATGCGTGATGCCATATAACGGTAATTTGAGGTTTCTCTTGCCATCGCACTCGTTATTGTTGGTGTTTTTATGTCCGCTCTTCACCTTTGGCATTGGTCTTCTAGGAATTGTCAGCTCCTCTGACCTTGACACTCAGCCAACCACATGGCCATTTATGCAGCATTTGTGTGGGCGGATGGGCGGGTGTACGGACGGCTGCAGTCCGCTCGTGTGCGTTGATGTCACCCGCTTCTGAAGTTTGCAGTAGATGCACATTAATTATGTGTGGGCAGGTCGCTAGGGATACAAATGCACTTAATTAATGTGCGCTGTAAACTTATTATGCCTGGTTAAACTAATAATAAATTGAATATATCCAGATGCATAAGGCAAAATACTGAATCAATATCTATCTATAGCAGATTGAAAGAGATAGCTAGAGAGAGAGGGTGAAGGAAATATAAGAATACAACCAAATAAAAGCTCTATACTATACAAAATTTGTTGAAACAAAGTTATTTTGAGTTATTTCTAGATTTATTGTGAATCATATTTCTATATGACATAAATCTCTATCATGATATTGATTGATATTATATTAGTATGAGACGCTTGAACTGTACTATCATTATTATTTATTAGATCTAAAAATATCTTAAATTGAGAATAAAAATTAACAGCTTGACTCAATGTACTTCCAAGGTTTCAGTTGAAAGGGTGCTTATGCTTAAGAATATTATATTAATATAAGAGTACTCCGATTACTCTTTACTGTTCTCCTTTAAAAACAGAAAAAAATCTTGCATTAGCTTATATTTCATGATCATATTTGGGGTATGAAAGACCAATGGAGATCGATTACCTACATATATACTACCCTCATTTAAGTATACATATAGGAAGGAAATTATATAAAACGATGTATTGGGTCTGAGACTAAATTAGTTAACTTTGAAGCAGACAAGTTTGTATGGGAATGTTTTACTGCAATATGTATAGACCAATGGAGATCGATTACCTACTTCTATATTGTTGTACATATATGTACATAGGAAGGAAATTATCTATCTAGACAGGGCATACTCCAGTCAAGTACTTTTGATTATGTCACTCTTACTTTTTGTTATCACTACCACTAAGTACTCCAAGTATTACGTCTCAAACTGTTTGTGTAGGATCAATATAGTACAATCACATTTATTCAGTTCGTTTTAGTGAGTATTAAAAATTAGTAAATATTAAAAATATCATCCTTATACATATATTATTTCTTTGTTCGTGAGTATATATTATTTTTGTTTGTATTAAATTTATTGTGATTCGAATTGAATAAGGTGAACGAATTGTTTTTGTGGTGACTGTGGGCATGCTTATTGATTTGTCCGTAGAGTTTCAGCAAACTTTATGGGCAACTTGTTGGAGCGCATGTTAATAAGGACCGAGAAACAAAAGCAAAAGTAATAAATTGCTTGGGTGGGTGTGGGCTGTGGTCTGCGGCACGGTGACTGGGGCCTGGGGGGCTTGGGGCGGCGGGTTAGCCATTGATGATGACGCACGGCGTGTCTTGTCTTTTTATTGGCCTGTGGCCGGGTCTGACGCACAATTGATAAACTGCAACAATAAACAGCTTACACTCCACACTTACGGTTGTCTCATTGCTCGCCTTTATCTGAACGTTGCAGGGAAAAGCAACGAGTTCCACTGGCTGCGGCTGGAGCAATTGCTGTTGTCGCTTTGGCATACTTCTGGGCAACGCATTGTCGCCGGCGACCGCAAGACTGGGCAAAATTATGAACTTGTGCTCCTCGGCTGGTGCGACCGCATCGACTACATCGCTATCGTCCACGGGGCACGGAGAGAATAACGGGAGCAGTCCCTCAGAGGTTACGCATTGTTTTGGCGGCGGCGGCGGCGGCAGCGGCGGCGGAGGAGGAGGTGGTAGTAGAGGCGGCGGCGGCGGTTGCGGAACTGACACCACAGCACCCACACTTAGGAATCGAAGCACTGTGAACGGTGCCGGTGGCAATACGACAAGCAGCAACGGACACAATCTGACATATAACGAAAACAACGCAAACATGCCGCCCGAGACACGTCCCAAAATGGTGACGGTCAAGCATCCGGAATCAAACAAACCCAAGCCCACCACAAAGAAGATTGTGAAAAATATTCAGGCGGATCAGGATGTGATTAAGGCGTTGCAGAGGTGCCGTGACGAAGGTGAGTTGACGAAGCTAACTATACGAAATCCAATTCTAATATAAATGAATTTTTGAATTCCAGGCATCAAGCTGCTAGACTTGAGCAAGTCGTCAATCACTGTCCTACCGACGACGGTCAGGGAGTGCGTCCATCTCACCGAACTCTATCTGTATAGCAACAAGATTGTGCAGCTGCCGGCGGAAATTGGATGCTTGGTCAATTTGCGCAATCTGGCCTTGAACGAGAACTCGCTAACATCGCTGCCGGAGTCGCTAAGGAACTGTACACAGCTCAAGGTGCTAGATCTACGCCACAATAAGCTGGCCGAAATACCGCCAGTTATTTATCAGCTGCGCTCACTGACAACACTATATCTGCGCTTCAATCGAATCACTGCCGTGGCAGATGATCTGCGCCAGCTGGTCAACCTCACCATGCTCAGCCTGCGGGAGAACAAAATCAAGGAGCTGGGCAGCGCGATCGGCTCGCTGGTGAATCTGACAACGCTGGATGTGTCGCACAATCACTTGGAGCACCTGCCGGATGACATTGGCAACTGCGTGAATCTGAATGCGCTCGACTTGCAGCACAACGAGCTGCTGGACATACCGGACAGCATTGGCAATCTGAAGTCGCTGGTGCGGCTGGGCCTGCGCTACAATCGACTGAGCTGCGTGCCCGTTTCGCTGAAGAATTGCAAGAGCATGGATGAGTTCAATGTGGAGGGCAACGGCATCACGCTGCTGCCAGACGGCATGCTCGCTAGCTTAAGTGCGTTGACCACAATCACATTGTCGCGCAATCAGTTCACCAGCTATCCAACTGGTGGGCCGGCGCAGTTCACCAATGTCTATAGCATTAATCTGGAGCACAATCGTATTGACAAGATTCCGTATGGCATATTCTCGCGCGCCAAGGGCCTGACAAAGCTGAATATGAAGGAGAACATGCTAACTGCGTTGCCGCTGGATGTGGGCACCTGGGTGAACATGGTCGAGCTGAACCTGGCCACCAATGCGTTGCAGAAGCTGCCCGACGATATCATGAATCTGCAGAACTTGGAAATACTCATACTGTCCAACAACATGCTCAAGAAGATACCCAACACCATTGGCAACCTGCGCAAGTTGCGCATTCTGGATCTGGAGGAGAATCGCATCGAGGTGCTCCCGCATGAAGTTGGCCTGCTGCACGAGCTGCAGCGACTGATATTGCAGACTAATCAGATAACGATGCTGCCGCGTAGCATTGGCCATTTGAGCAATCTAACGCATCTTTCTGTTAGCGAGAACAATCTACAATTTTTGCCCGAGGAGATTGGCTCGTTGGAGAGCCTGGAGAACCTCTATATCAATCAAAATCCAGGCCTGGAGAAGTTACCGTTCGAGCTGGCGCTGTGCCAGAATCTAAAGTATTTGAACATTGACAAATGCCCGCTGGGCACCATTCCGCCCGAGATCCAAGCTGGCGGCCCATCGCTTGTGCTGCAATGGCTCAAGATGCATTCACCCTATCGGCAGATGTGAGATGTGGATGGCGTCTGGCGCACCGTTTACGTTGGCAGCGACTGCTACTATCAGTACGAGCTGCAGGCGGCGCAACAGACGCAGGGTAAGCAGGCGGGACGCTCCACCAATGAGCGAACCAATGAGCGGCGCTAACGGTGCGAGCTTTGCTAAGTTTAGCAATCCATGTTAGCCCCACCCCCACCCCGGTCATGCCTGTGGGCCACACCTCTCCCCATAAACATAAACACCGCAAACAGAATACACACAGATTACCCCGACTGGAGTGCGTTGCCTGGCAAATGATAGCTTTAAACAAATTGTTATACCAACGTCCCGCGTATTGTAAAACTGCCCCGATTTGCTTTTACCTTATGTTTAACTCTTAAGTTCACACGTTCGAAGCTGCTTAGCGACATCTGACTTGGTCCTCAACGTTTAGGTTTTAGTTGTATGCTTCCAAGCTAGTCATAAAAAAAAACTCACAAACAAACGAAACTAAATCTAATTTAATTATATTAAAGCTTTAGAAAAGAACAAATACTTTTTTCGTTTCGTTCGATACTCGTTTAAAGACATTAACAAAACAAAACAAAACAAAAAAACGAAAAAAAGAAAACTAACTGTCATTAAGGAAAGCTAAATCGAATGTTCAAAAACACATAAAAATACGCAAGCGCCATGGAATTGTTTGGAAAAAAGAATTAAAAAATTAAATGAAAAAAATTAAATATACATACACATACAAAAATTATTATTAACGTACTTTGTACACAAGTATAAAAACTAAATGAAAAGTATTAATAATTTGATTACTATTGAAAGTTTTTTTGAGCGCTTCAAGCAAGACTATATTGATATGGAGCACCCTATATATATACATACATATATATATAAGTACATATTTGTGGATCTGCTTGTAGCGCGTCATCTAAGTTTATATTAAAGCACAGGCATTATAAGTATTTTAGACACTTGAATGTTAAATAAAAAAGAAAAAAAACTATGTCAATGTGTGTGCGTGTATAAAAAATAATTGTTAAATTTGATTTCGACAATTTTAGTTAATAATAATCACATACAATTTTTGTATGGCAAACAAAGAGAAACACATACTTGCAAGAGTATAATGCCACCTATTTGATAAGCGAACTATATAAGTCGATATACATACTATATACATATAGATAACAATTGAACTGCAGACATTCTGACATTGTAGACATATATACATATATTTAACACGTTTTGGTAACCAAGAATCAGACTATACGAGTACATCCGAACCAGTAGAGCAATTCGACAAGGAATTCCGTTTTCCTAGTACATTTGAAGTACTCAGAACTAGATCGAAGATATATTTGTTCAAATAGACAGTTCGAAGTCTTTGTTCCTGGGATATCGTCCATTGAGTTTCCAACAGATGATATCTCGCTGAAAGAGTACAAATTTGTAAGAAGCTGAAAAATCGATTTTTAAAGCAACGTTTTTTTACGCAATATAAGATTTTTCGATTTTAAAAATATTTTGAAATCAGTTCTGGTTTCAAACTCGGATATGTCAAAGATTATGAACTGATTCTTGGACCCTATAATAATTGTTAAAGTGTGTTTAATGAATTTTATGTCTAAACAGCTCAAGATTCATAATTGTTTATTTTTCTTAGACGAAAACTACAAGTTTTTCTCTCATTTTAAACATAATTAAAAGACAACATACGGCATGCTATAAACTGAGCAGCTTTCTGTCGCAACGCAAAAGGGCTTTAAAAATCATTTTGAATACCAAGTACATCTGAATCAACGAAACTAACTTTAAATACTATAATACATGCATGAATCATGTTACGAGCTATAGCTATACTTTTACATACATATTTTACATAGGCATACATATATACGACTATTTTTTAGAAACACTTGAATGCTATACATACATACATACATACAAACAAATTCATACACTCATACATACATAATACATACATATATGTTTTATCTGAAGATATAAGATATTATACTCATACAATTGTAATTGAATTACAAAACGCTTAACAAAAATAGTAAACAAAGTACGAAAATCGTAAAATGCAAACGGTACAAAACAAAAATAAATAAGATAAATAGAAACTTAAAAAAATAGTTTAATAAATGTTACAAATTGTTCGCACACCTGAAGCACACACATAAAACATAATATTGAATTTAGAAATGAGCAAAAATACAAACTAACGTAAATTTGAAGATGAAAATTGAAAATTGAAATGTTAGTACAAGTACGTCATATATGTTAGACTAGAACGATGGATTCGATAAAGTCAAAATGTAAAGATATTCCTAAACATACAAAACATATTTGTGAAATAAACATAATGTTAAAATTCAATGTTAAAACACTGAGAAATGCAATCCACCAATCTCCAAAGCTTTGTGTGATCTCCATGCACTGTTAAATGATTCACTCAAACGTGTGTGGTCACTGTTAAAAGACTCGCGAGATCACTGTTAAAAATGTTAATGTGTGCTGGGCTGCGCACTGTTAACTAACCATTCTGTTAGTGCGCGCTGTTAAAGAATATGAGTCTTTTAACAGTGGTGCTGGAGCCGAGCTCTAGTGGGCGACTCAAAAGAATTGAGCATGAGGGTAACAGTATAAATCACACGCTTACAAAACAGCTGTTAGCTTTCTCCCACTCTCTAGCGATGGCTCTCTTTGTCTACCTCAGTCGCTTACTCACAAACTTACAAGTTGCGATAATAAAAGCTCAAGTGCTCGCATCATTCTGCCAGTCAGCGTCTAGAAGAAAACAACGCAGTTTGCAACCGAATTAATAGTGCAAACAAAAGCCGTTTAAGGACTTGAGTAAACAATTTTATCAATTAAGCAGTAAGCGAACAGGTATGTTTCTTGGCGAAATGTAAACTGTGTATAGCATTGGAACTGATAACGATTAAAAGAAGCTCCAGTACTTTTCTTTGTTCTTTTGGCTCGATTGTTTAATGCGTATATACATACATATGTATATAAATATTCATTGTTTTATTATTGAAATAATGAATTTCGATTCGACTTGATAAGGTCTTGCCTTTAAAAGTGTCGCATTCCCGTTGAGCGCTTCGCAGTGCGCATATCAAAAGCAATTCTTATCCATCTTCCGTACCGAACTCTGATCTCTTCGCAGCTTCCGCAACACAATGCAAGTGTTATTGCTCTTTTTTGTTGCCTGCGTATCCATTGGCCATACGCAGGCATACTCGGCGTATCGGGATGCTCAGATTATAGCTGAGTATAAGCGGCAGCTGATATTGAATCATGCCAAGATCGCGCGTCAATTGGTCCATCGCGCCAATTGGGCGTCTGTGGGCAGCATTTCGACCAATAAAATTGTGAAAGACTATCCCATGGTGAACATTATCTCAATTGACGACAATAACCTGGAGGGCAAGTCTTCGGGCGTGATTCGTTTCCTGCTCACCGATTTGGACTTCACGGGTCCGGACTGGCAGAACAATAACAAAGTAACTTTCCTGTTTTCGGATGAGCAGACGCTGAACTGCAAAAATGCCAACAAGGATCCGATGGAGCCTACCTGTGCGCGCGTGATAATCAGTGGCCAAGTCAAGAAGGTATGTAAAGCTGAGATGTAAAATGCTTGAAAATAAAAATTTATACATTACATATTATGTATCCCATGTAATAGCTCCCGAAGGATGAACCTAGCTATACTCCAGCCCTTAATACATTTATTGCTCGTCATCCGGCAGCGGCTAATTGGATAAAAAGTATGCGTAGCAAATGTTATGGGGAAATAACTCGATAAATTTTAAATACTTCTTTTTTAGAACACAACTTCTATCTCTGTGAGCTCGATATTCAGAATATATTCGTGCTGGACTTCTATGGCGGGCCGCACCAGGTTAACGCCTCGGACTATTATGCAATTAAAATTTAAGACTGGGTTTGAGTAGGTCTCCCTATAAGACCCACAAGTCTTTTGTTTACAATCCGAGAAATGTATATAGTGATAAGCAAAAGTCTATATAATGCTCTACTGAACAAGCGATCCTACGTGCTTCCCGTCTCGCCCTCTTTTTTTTTCTATCGGACTTTGCATGTGATAAGCTTTAACATAATATAGAACAAATGGTGATAAATGTGTATATATATGCCACATATGTTTATACTATGGAAGGGTGTTACATGGGAACGAGGAGCATTTCGTTTGTCCACTGCATTTTAGGAAAAACAAAATCAATTACTTGTAACATTTTGAATATATATTGTAAGTTTTAGGTGTATAATATAATCATTGGATTCGATAATTGCCATGTGCCAGGACGTTACGCATGTTGGCCCGGCAGCACGCAGAGGGTGGCATCTATTTTCTGTAACTGGGGCAGAATGTCGCGTAGCTTGGAGCGATAGCGGACATCTGTGGCCACGGGATTATGTTCCAGGTAGATCGTCTGCAAGGCTTTGTTGACCTTCAGTACCTCGAGATTTTTCCAGTTGTCGATCCCATTGTCGTTTAACCAGAGCTCTTCGAGCTGCTGCAGCGCCTCCAGGTTGGCAATAACCTTCAATCTGTTTTTAGCTAAGTCGAGTGTGTCCAGACACTTGTTCTCGGACAGATTCTCAATGGTCTCGATGCCATTTTCTGATATGTACAGCTCCTTCAGATTGGTCAGCTTCTCCAAATTCTCGATCTTGACAATACGATTTGCCTGCAGACTCAGTATCTCCAGGTTGACTAGCGTATCTAGATTTTCAATCTTTGCGATTTTGTTCTTGCCCAGAAATAGCTGACGCAGATTTACCAATGTCTCGATGTTCTCAATTTTCTTCAGCTTGTTGTCGCCCAGCTCCAGCATTGTCAGATTGGTCAACATACCCAAGTTCTCGATGACAGTTAGTTTGTTGGCCACAAAGTAGAGTTTCTCTAGTTTTACCAGTTTGTCCAAATTCTCGATTTTGGTCAGACGATTGAAGCTGAGGTCGAGTATTTCCAGGTTGACTAACTTATCTAGATTCTCAATTTTTGTGATCTGGTTATCATACAGTTCCAGCTCCACCAGGGTTTTTAGCATGTCCAGGTTTTCGATCTTTTTGATGAGGTTCCATCGCAGATACAATCGTTCGATCTGTTTCAACGGCTCGAAATTTTCGAGCTTATCGATACGACGATGATTCAGATCCAGTTCATAGCACTCGGGATCAATCATCACGATTTCCTCAATTGACGCCACCAGCTCTCCCGGTATGATCTGCATTCCGGCCGTTGGCTTCGCTTCTCCACTAATCGGGACTGCATTGTCGCCGTCAGCCATACTCATAAGAATGCTGTACGTTTTCTTAATTATATATACAAATTTAATAAATTATAAATGCCGCCTGCCCTGCCCGACGATTTTCTTGTTGGTTTTTCTTATTATTTGCCGAATGTTATTTAGTGTTGTAAAAGAGTACGAAAAAAATTGGCAAATTAGTGTGGTAAGGGATTTTACTGTGCTCGGTATGCTACTCATATAGGCGTATTTCTCATTTTTGGTTGTCAGTAGAAATTATCAAATAATGTTTTGGCTGTAATAAATGTCTAAGTCTGTATCTGGTTTTTATCAAATATATTGAGTTGTAAATCAAATAAAAATTCTCAAAAATTGAATTGTTGCACTTGCTGCAAAAATTTTGATCGTTTCGTTTATTATTGTTATCAGCGTACTTGACACAGCAGCCAGACTCTTGTTGCATTTCAGCTGAATGCTATTAGTGTTGAAAAAGTACAAAAAGTTTAAAACGCAGTGTTGCCAGTTAGTTGTTGAGATAGGTATGCAGCTCATGAGAGCTGAGATAAAATTAAAATATATTGTTAAGTAGATAATAAATATTATAGTTCATATTTTGGTTTGCATAATAATAATAATAATAATAAATATACATTTATTGCCGTTATTATTGCAGCTTTAGTTCAGTCTAGCTCAAACAAATTTTTATCTACCACTTCGATTGTCAGCGTACTGTCCGTAACAGCTGTTAATAAGTATTTTGAACTTTTGTGAGAACGCGTGCAGCATTAGTTTTAATGTGTAATGCTAGTAAAAGTTTTATGTTGAGTTTGTAGGGAAAATGTCGTGAAAATTGAATCCAATGGCAATTTGTGCTCACATTAACGACTCGTTAGATATTCTGTTATTATCAAGCAGCTGAACAAACAACATGTCGACGGGCTTCAAATGCCGCAACTGCGGATCCAATGAGATCGAGGAGGACAATGCACGCGGTGATCGTGGTAAGCAAGCAGCCGAGAGTCCATAAATTCCACAATTCTTCGACTTTAGACTTCTTGTGCTTCTAGTTTGCATGAACTGCGGCTCTGTGCTGGAGGATTCGCTTATTGTCTCCGAGGTGCAGTTCGAGGAAATGGGCCATGGAGCCTCCGCTATTGGACAATTCGTGTCGGCGGAGTCTTCAGGCGGCGCAACAAACTATGGCTATGGTAAATTCCAAGTTGGCTCCGGCACAGAGTCGCGCGAGGTGACAATCAAGAAGGCCAAGAAGGACATCACTCTCCTCTGCCAGCAGCTGCAGCTGACCCAGCACTATGCGGACACAGCGCTCAATTTCTTCAAAATGGCCCTGCATCGACATCTGACACGGGGACGCAAAAGCACCCACATCTATGCGGCCTGCGTCTATATGACCTGCCGCACCGAGGGCACGTCACGTAAGTGTATATAGATATTACTGTAGTTACTTCAGAAGTACTTATCCAATCTCTGCTTACAGATCTGCTCATCGACATCAGCGACGTACAACAGATTTGCTCCTACGAGCTGGGACGAACTTACCTGAAGCTGTCACATGCTTTGTGCATAAATATACCATCCGTAGGTGAGTTTGAACTCAGAATTTGTATATACCCGAAAATGGGGAATCCGGCTGTGATTTTGCTAAAATGCAACAGGTGGAAGAAGGCGTGGCTAACCCCTTTAAGTTTATATATTCTTAATCAAAACGACAAGCTGAGTCGATTTTGCCTCACCCGTCTGTCTATCCATCCGCCCATCCGTCCGCATATATTGACGCATCGATATCAAAACTTGTAAGATCTAGGGTCTTCAAAATTTCTTGTAAGATGAATCGTCTAGAACAGGCTTAAAGGTTGAAGAATATTTTCTATCCCCAGCTTTCATTTCATAATCTCCTTTAAAAGCGTTTAAATTCGAGAAAAATCTAATAATATATTTTATTGGTTAATAGTCGTAATACATAATTCATAGATTCATAAACAATATATAGGATAACATTCGTCTTACGCATATGGTATATAAAAAGTTTGTTTTTTATTTTGAAAAAATAAAAAAATCAGTACAATTTTCAAGGAATTGAAAACTTGAATTCAAATATGATTTTTGCGCCGTGCAGCTCAAGAAGATTCATGCAGATTCGTTTATTCGATATTAGGGGAAATCAAGTCTATAATTGGTTTATGTCGGGCTGTAAAAAGGCTTTTATATTACGTTTATAGAAATAATGCAACTACAAATGCACGCTACAAGAAATACATAGTTATATTAATTAATTTTAGCGCGTATATAGCATGTAATCTGTGTATGTTTCTGTTTTGTGAAGAAGAATTTGGGGATTACTAATGCTAATTAAGTGTGTAAATCTGTTTACGGTTAACTTGGCTTTCAAATTCGTACGCATACTTTAACATGGCGTAATAGACTCTTTCAAGTGTATATAGTATATATATATATGTAGGTTTAGTATATGCTGGCAAAAAATATTTCTGATATTTAATATGTATATATATATATATTCTTGTTTTGCATTCAGTTGTTTATTTAGAATATATTTAGTTATCATTAGCTTGACTGATTGCCCGTTGTTTACTTGCTTATTGAAGATGCCTTCGATTACCTTATCTGCTTGCTTGCTTCGCAATKTCTCTTGGAACGTATATAGTATTAGTAGTAGGTTGGGTGTATATCATCAACTTTTGGGGGCTTACGTTATCCAAATTTTAAATAGTTTCTTTTTGTATGCATTTACCAACAGACGTTATATGTGTATGTGTGTTTGTTTATATGTATGTACTACGATAACTAGAGCACTCTACTGTATTGTGATTCTATAAGTGTTAAGTGTATATATAATAACTACACATGTATATATATGTATCTATATATATATATCAATCTAATATCGCTTTCCTTAAAACTCCAATTTGCTTTGTTGTGTTGCACTGAAAACCCATGAGTTTCGATTTTGTGTTTGTTGTGGTTGAATCTGTGTTGGTCTCTTCGGTAGCTGCTGCTGCTGGTGCTGTGGCTGCTGGCGGTAGTAGCAGGCACCCTGCCACTCCGCACAGTACAACTGTGCGCATCAGGTGTTGCTGCCATCGCTGCTGGCGCTTGTGCTTCCGACTGGCAGCTCATCAGCAGCGTTGTTAGCATTGTTGCTGCCATTGGCTGTGACTGTTCCGCTGCTGCCGCTTGTAATGGCTGGCGTTGCTCCTATGGGCGTGGCGCAGATTGAGCTTGTGGGCGAGTTGAGCGCGGTGACTGCTGTGGGTCCGTAAAAGATCAGTTCGGGTATCTGGCCACCCTGCACGCCGGTGCCGTTGGTGCTCTCCGACGAGCACTGGAATTGGAATGTAACATTGCCCATGAGCACCTCAGACATGCCCTCTTGCCCGAAGAAGCTGAGCTCGTTGCCATCCAGTATTACTGAGGCTGTGTAGTGACACTCCGGCTCTATCTGTATGGGATTTTCGAAGAATACGTGGAAAGTGTTGCTCGAGCCATCCGAAAAGAACTTTGTGTCATTCTCCGCCAGCGTGCGGCCCAAACGCTTCAGCTCGATCTTTACATTGTAGTTAGCTGCACCCGTGGACGAGCCGTAGAGCCCAAAGCCCACAATGAATATTCTGGACAAGCAAGAAATAGGTATGTGAATAGCTGATTGATTTTAGCCGGGTTTGGTTTGACTTACCTGCGATCCACTGAGAACTGTATGGAGTCGCAGCGGCCTCGATAGCGCCACTGATTGGAGCGATAGGCGCACGATTGAAACCGATGGCAAACTTGAGTTTTGAGACCAGCACGCGGACGCGTGGGAAAGCTGAGAGTGGGCTTGATTTTTGCAGTGAAATGCAAAAACATGTCAATTGTCTCCTGGGACGTGAGTATGCCCGTTTGGGCAACGCCATTGGCGAACTCCTCCAGGCTCATTGTCGGTATGCGTATCAGATGCAGTGCCTGGCCTAGAACGCGGCGCTTGTTCGCCGACGTCTCGTCAATGCTCATCTTCTCGCAGGCATTCACGGCCCAATTGAGCGCCGCTTCAAATAGATGAATCTCCTTACAGTTTAGGGTCTCGCGCGACAATATCGATTCGAATGTTTTGAGGTCAATGTCCACAAAATCTTCGGACTTAACCGCCATCTCGGCCTGGGCATCTATCACTTCCCAGCAACGTTGCATCAGTTCGGGCTCCTCGAAAAGACGCGATTGACTGAGAAGTAGGCAGGCGTTTTTTGCCGTCAACTTGACTTCGAGATAGTTGACGCAGGCGCGCGCCAAGTGTGGCACAATATACTTTTTAGCTGCGTACAATGTGGCCAGTATGTGTTCAGGTTCCAGTTTGATTTCATCACAATAGAGATACCTGTAGATAATCATAATGCCAAAGCGTCTAAAATTTCTCACTAAGAGAATTTTGATTGACTCTTACCTTAGCAGCGTTAAGAAGGCTGTGGGCTCTACATCGGGTACCTTTATCTCCTGCTTGTTCTCCGCCAATCCGCCGTAAAACATGGCGTAAAACACAGAGCTGCCCGTGGCGAGAATGTACTTGTGTGCGGGTATGGTTTGAATGGGATCGAAATCTATTCAGTTTGGAGGACATTGGATTCGGAATTGATTAAATTAATTTGATGAGATGCATGCTTCGGTTTAACTCACCGAACTCGCTGCCCACAATGAACTTCACGTCCGACAGCAGCTCATTGTTGAACATCGCTGCATTGCGCTCCAGCACGGTTGCCTTGCTGGCCTGCCAGTTCGGATCGGCCGTGTCAATGGCATTTGAGGCGCCAACGGCGGCATAGCTGCTATTGCTGCCCGCTGCACAGACGTACGATCCGCTGCCGCTGCTGGGCGTTGTTGTTGCCGTCGCCGCATTGGCTGCAGCCACCGCCGAGGCAATGGCCGCGGCTGTCGCTGAACTGGAGGGCAGACAGAATGTGGTCGGACTGCTGCCACTGTTGTTGCTATTCAAGGCGCCAGGCGAAGCCAGCGGCGAGGATGGTGCACTGATCGGCTGTGTTATTTGTATATTGTGATCAGCGGCGCTGCCTGACCCCGGCCCCGGGGATGTGACTGCAGCACCACGTTGCTGCTGCTGTTGCTGGTGGTTATGTGGTGGCGAGTGCAAGAGGCCGTTGCCATTGTTAAGCGTCTCCACTGTAAAATTGAATAGTTATAAATTACGCATTTAGAATATAGTCTTAGCATTATATCTAAACCGTGGCCAACCGAACTCCGCCAGTTTCTGCACAATTCGCTGCAGCATTTGCTAACCGCTAGACGTCGAGGCCTCACTTCCACGACTGTGCCAGCAGCCATCGGTGCCCCCATTCGTCGTGGCTGCAACAGCTGCGGCCCCCTCCTATTATACTCCCCCATATCGGATGCGAACGTAATGTGGAGCGTCCAAAAATAGCGGCTCTTCTGTTGCTGCTAAATCTGCAGCTCGCGACTTTTAGCACGGACCCCAAAATCTGTTTTTTCTGTGTGTGTCTCTTTGATATTAATAATACTCTGCGTGTGCATGTGTACCTATGTGTGCGTGAGTTACTGATGGCGGATGATTATAAAATTTTCACTTTTTAGGCAGAAATATTTGTACATTGTTATTCTAATAATAATGGAGAACTACATAATTCTATGCGTAAATAATCAATCTTAAATAAACAAACCCCGCCTCCTTTCTCTTTCACATCCTTCTACTGATATCTCAACTGTTATTTATTTTGTGGAAAATCGATAACATACACAGACAGGGACACACACACATGCATATGTGCACATACACACACGCGCACCTGCTATTTTGTCTATTTGGATGCATTTTTCTTACCATTAATCCAGCCGCCGTTAACCTGGGAATGTGACATGGATTCTTGATTGCGCTTATTTGTCGATTTCAATGAGAATCGGTTTAGTGCGCTGTTGTTATTGCTGCCAGTATTGCTGTTATTATGATTATTGCTGCTGCTGCTGCTACTGGCCATGACTACGTTTTGTGTTTGTATTATTTGAACAGCAGTCAGAGAGAGATAGAGAAAGAGAGTGGAAAATTTGGAGCACTATGCAAAACAATTCTTGTCCGCAATAACCATATGATACCACTATAGTTTTACTTTTGATTAAGTGCGCTATATACTATTTCAATTAACTGACGGCATTTGTAATGCCATTTTAAGAATTAAACTAAGCTGCGTATATAGGCTTGAGAGAACTTGCAGCAGTCGGCAGATTAAAACGCAAATCGATAGACAGTGGCGGTAAGACGATATGCGATCCACAAACAACATCCACGACAGCGATGCATTTGTCTGTTGGCATGTGATATACCAACCAGCTTTTGTGTATCTGTGTGAGCGCGTGTTTTGAATGCGAATTAGCTGAATTTCAATTTACTGTGGATTTGCGTCAGTTTCGCAAGTTTCGCTGGGCCACAATTCATTGATTATATCATGGTCGCGGTTAATATGTATTTCCGTCATGCCAATTTGAAGCTCAGGCCGCGCACTCGCGCACTTGCCTCTGTCCCATATAAAAGCGTCAATGCGTACGTGAGCCTTAAATATTACCATAGCCTTGTGCAGCAGCTGGGGCTAGCATCATGTACATATTAGTCCATGCTTGAAGCTTGTAAACTTGACGCATATTTTGTGCTTGAATACGGCTATTGATTATGGCCCGGCTGCGCATATTTAATATGACCACAAAAAATTTGAACTTGAAATCGATTTGCTTGCCAGAGTTTGGTCATCGCTGCTGTCACCGCTGAAGGTTTGTCGATTTCTTACCATACTAAAAATCACACATGCACTCACACACACACAAAGCAAATCTTTACAAATCGAACACGCACATGCACATAAACATCTAACAAAAAGTAAAACAAGTTTTTGCTTCTGTGCAGTCCGCCGACTGCGTGTTTGGGCCATGAAAACAAACAACAACAAAATGTTGTTGACCTTTGCGTAAACGAAAACTCATTTCGGCAGCTTTTCCTACAAATTTTCACTCAATATGTTGAGTACTTACTGTTAGATTGGCGTTGCTGCTGCGGCTGCTGCTGATGTTGTTGTTGTTGTTGTAGTTGCTGCTCTTGTTGTGGCTCGGGCGGCGGCATTTCCTCGTTTTCCGGAACCCGCGCAGCGTATTCCGGCTCATAGTTGTGCGCATAGGCGCTGCCCCAATGGCCGGCAAAGTCGTCCTCTTCGAGCGTCAGCAGGTGATCCAGCACCTGGACGCCGCGTTCGAGGGGACCGTGAAATTTATTAATTAGCTCGGAGAGACGCAGATTGAGGCCGTAACTGGCGCCGCTGACGCCACTTGGCGTCCTCGTGTCGATCGCCCAATAAAATAGATGACGTCCCAGATGACTGCTCAGATGGTTTGCAAAGGCCTCGATCATCTTTCCCTTGGCATCATCTCAGCCCCATTTAACATTTTCCGACTCTGGCACTGCAAAATGGAATAAAGAGCAGACTTTGAGGTTATGTAATGTAATCTAACAGTCACTGAACTCGCTCTCTCACTCTCTCTATCTGTCCCTCTCTCCTTCTCCCTCTCTCTCTCTCTGCTCATCTAACATTGCCTGTTTCTTTAACCCCAAATCTCGATTTACACTTTCACTTCCAGTTCCCACTTCCACTTGCCATTTTCATGTCTATTTCCACACGCATTTCGGATTAGCTACAGGAAGTTATTGAAATTTGGCTCGGCCTTGGCATTTTTTGTTTGCTTGTTTGTTTTGTTTCTCTTTTTCATGTCTCATGTAATGCGATCTGTTCGCATTTGCTTTCGTTTTTCCCAGTCATTTCTGAGGGAGAATCCACACCTGTCATCGTCGCGTTGCCTTTTCAGATTATGCAAGCAGCCACGTTTAATTGACAGCAATGCGAAGTCCGTAACCAAAACAAAACTGCGAGAGAGAGAGAGAGAGATACACACACACACACACACCGATACAGATAAAGGCAAATATTGTGGTGTCATGCAGCGCATGCGGGTGTGCGTCGCGACGCTTAACAATCAGCGAACAGCAGCTGCCACGCCCCCTCTCTGCTCCGCCTCAGATCTAGCAAATAATTTGCCGAAACCGAGTGGAATTTTTGGCAAGCGCTTGTTTCCGGGGCGACCAGCTTTGTATATAGCCATATTTGAGCAGATCTAACACTCAATTAGCTGATTTATTTTTTATTTATATGAAATAATTGAATTCAGTTCCAAAGATATCATAGCTCTTCTCTACATATAGTCTTTGTTGATAATGTTCAAAGAAATAGCTGTTCCTAAAGTTCTTGTACAGAATAAAGACTAAATAAATAAATTATCTAGTCAAAAAATGTCATCTACTCATTTTATTACTTTTTAAAAACTAACACAAGTGATGAATTACAATATTATAGACCCAACCACATAAGAAAATCTAAGTAAATTTGATTATATTTGCTTGCTATATCTACTCTATCACATAATACCCTCTCCTTGAGGAAGGTTGTAGGGTATACTACAATTATTTAAATTAAACAAGGCGCATCAAATTAGTTAGCTTTTTATATACATGCATATAGATAGAGTCTTTATAAAGGTGTGTGCCATAGGCAACTCCGCTCCATAAGAACGTATTTAGGTATATACCTCTATGTATATTATATATTATATATATACTGTATATAGTATAGGCGCGTATGCCAGAAATGCAAAATGCATTTCGTTGCATTTGACAGCAAAGTCACGTTTAGCATGCAGCAGACGTAGGCTTAATTGTTTTTATCTTTTCTACCTTTTTACAATCAGATATACATATGAATATAGGAAGTATATGAACGAGAAATTGATCTTTATTTAGTATCGTTAACTAGATTAGGCTAATTAAATTACTATTTCATAGGCTAGTCTACATACATACATATGTAACGTATATGGAATGAATCAGATCGATTCGATCGAATTAAGCTGACAAAATATTTTAGCTTATATGTATTACATTTAGGAATAAAATGCTGCTGTCAGAAAAAATGTGTATAATTATAAATAACATAAATATGTAGGTAAATACATATATAAATATCGCATTAATATAACATGATATCGTGTCACGAATTTTTCTTCTTCTCTTGTCTATCGAATTTTCCTAATTCTGCTAATTTGCATCGTGATTAACTCGTGCTTTTGGAATAGAGTTAAAGCACTAACCAGAGAACAATTTGTTCTAGATGTCTAGTCTATGTGTTCTCTGGTTAGTGGTTAAAGTGACAGCTGCTAAAATGTTATTCGAGTGAGTTAGCTGCTCTTCTTCTTCTGCTTTTTGCCTTGCATCCTCTAATTCTCACTCTGTGTGAGACAGGGAAAGATGGCTGTTGCTGAACGTAGCTGACTGCTGCTGAGCGTGAGCGAGATGGCCATATAGACCACTCAGACAGGGCCGTTATGATTGTCAGTGGCCAAAGAGAAGCGACTAGAATTTGTCATTCTGAAACAAAGCACATTGTGTGAGACAGCCCAGTGAAAATTCGGTATTGTGGAGGATTTTGAAACATATACAATTAAAATGGATGGTGAGCAAATTGAGAAACACTAGGCATACACATATCGATATATATAAATTATATATCAAATACTTTTAAATGTAGGCAGCAGCACATCTAAGTTGTCTGAGCAGCGCAATAAAATTATCGAAAATAATTATCCATAATAATAGAAATCATATATCAATCATTTTGTGCAGGGTATCTGCACTTCTGCCCACTCGTTATGATTCCCTTTGCTGTTTGTTTACGCACATTTGACTTAATTTGTTGTTGTTATTGTTGTGGCTGTTGAGCTTCGCATTGGCTTTTGCAGTTTGTAAGCGCATTCGAAATTTGCGCTTGCATTAACTTTGTGCGCCCTTTTCTTAATTTATGTATTTCTTTTGGTTCGGGCTGGGTTGGCCTGGCGCTCGCTGTTTTCATTACATTTTTTCATAGCCTCTTTAATTGCGAGTGTCGACCCACTTTGACCACGCCGGGTCAGACCGCAGGCGACCCATAGATAAAGCGACAGACGGACAGACGCAAGACAACAACAATGAAGAAGACGACGACGACGGACCCAAACCCCAAAGAGACCCCAAAACCGACGCCCGCGTAACACTTTCGATTTTTATTTCCTCATTACACGCGCACCATGCAAAACAAAAGCAAAAAGACAACAACAATATATTTTTTATATATATATATGTATATAATATATATAAGAGTTAAGAAAAAAGTGAAGACTTGACTCTTTTTTTTTTTTTGAGCTGCTGAGTTGGTTTTGCTGTTCGCTTTGTGGGCCACTTTAAGCAAATATATCTCATTGCATTTTCACGTTTCAGTACAAATTGTGCAATCGCAACGCATTTGCGCTGATTGGCAAAAATATGGCAAGGAGAGCAGCGATTCGTTTTACCTGACTTAATCAGTTATTGATACACAAAAGCCAAAAGCTTGGCCTTAAGTCTAAGCCATCGCTCAGCCACAGGTGAGCGGACAGGTCATTCGGGCTCACGTGGCTGTTGATTTGACGATTTTGCACTTTAATTAATGACTGCTTGTCAGATCGTTCAGTTATGGGTGCTTTATGCTTTATGGCTCGTAGAACCAAGTCGTTTACTTTCATTCGAGTTTTCGTGTACAATTTTGAAATGTTTTGTTTATTAGCTGATATATATTATTTCATTGTTGATATATGAAAATTTTATAGGGTATTTATTTTTATAGAATATATTTGCATTTATATTTATCTGTATTCATATAGAATATTTTATCATATATCTGTATTTATATAGAATAAATATGAATTTGAATTATTAAATATTGTACATCCCGAATATAAAAATCTATAGAGTAGAGATAAAATTACAATACTCGTTGGTATTAGACTTGTAACTATAATGTTTCGCTCTTTAAAATAAATACTTCCCAAAAGAAATCAGCACTTATTTGCAAGATAAATGTTCCCATTATATAAGTATTATAAATAGAAGATTTCTCTATTAGGCGTGATGATAAGTTTGGCATGGATCGCTGTAGCGCAATTAAATAAAAAATACTCAAACTCTTGTTTACAATGCTTGAAGCAAAAGAAGTAGGTAGAAACCATGCTAAACAAAGAAATCTGATCATGGAATTTATTTCATTAGCTTAAACAAACTTTTGTATAAAAGAGAAAAAAATGCTTTAGGGAGAATCCCAAAGACAACAAAATTCCTGAGACCCAAAAGCCAGTTTAGACTATGTAAATAAATAAGTTAACTTCCACTTCCAATATTGAAAAATAAGAGAGATTAGCTTTAGCTGATATAAAATATACTTGCAACAGCCCTTGGCAGAAAATGAATCTGAAACGCTTTCGTTTCAGCATCTGGCACTGCAAACAAAATTCGTTCGCAAATGCATTTCCACGAATGAAAAATACGTGCGCTTGGCACAGAGCTTATTCAATTTCCTCGTGAGCTGGCAAATTTCTATGAAATTCTCAACATGTTCTGTTGGATACCTAGCAAACCATAAAATTTGAAGACATGTTTGGTTAAATTTACATAAAATTAAATATATCATAGCTATAGTTTGATTAAGTTTATAATCGATGTGCTTGACAGTTGAAAACTGATCGATTAGTTAGAAATAGAAAGAATTGAGCAGAATTGGGAATCTGAAAAGAGTATTCACAGCTCACAGATATAGATGGATCTATGGAACCCAAGATCGCAACGCTTAAACGGGCAGACGACTCGACTGTTGATCCTCGCCAAAAATAAAAGTATATAATAATATATTTATGAGATCTGACACGCCCACTTCATTTCAAATGCTAATATTGTTACTAGAAAATTCCATTTTGAGTGTGTTCAAGGTAATAAAAGTTGGCATTTTGAACTTTTAGGTGAAATTGTTGTTTCAGGTCTTCTCCATTTCCAGATTCGCATTCAGCTACCATTGTTTGTTTGCTTAACGAATTTATTTGATTTTGAATAACTTAGCGCTTATGGCCGTTGAAGAATCAGGGTCAGGGACATCTCAGCTCCCATATGCTCCACAAATAAATATATATAAACGCATTAGCTTAGCTCTTGAAAGTTGCTCTAGAGATTAGTTTTTAGAGTATCTGTCGCTTCGCTTATGTGTGATCTTAGCTCTCATCTTTTAGTCATTGTCGCTTAGCATTTTGTTTTGTATTTTTCTGACGCCTGAATCTGAAGCTGAGGTGTATCTCAAAGGTGTTGTCAAATTACTTAATGCCTCGTTTCGAGTGCCCTTAGGTGGTTTCGCAATCACCCAGCCAGTCAGTCTGTCAGTCAGTCACTAAGTCAGGTGTCGGTCGGTTGGGCCTTGCGGTTTAGACGCTTTGATTTGCAGATAATTTTATAGACATTAGTGTGCAGTTTTTTTTCTCTTCTTGTATATTTTTAACATGAGCCACAATCTAGTCGCTTT